GTCAAGATTGTTATCTTCGACTTATCAAGGACTCAAGTCCACTTACTGATATCCTTTGTCCTAAGTCAAGGTTATTACCCCCAGTTGAAGTTTGGATTGTTATCCACAGTAGGACATGAGCAGTAACGCAAAGATTATTTGGGTTTGTTTACTCGAACAAGACTCGATGGGAATATTGCTTCCTAGGGGGATGCCTACTCCCAGTAAAAGACCTTTTGCTACTTGACATAGACCTATCTACCAGGGGGTTTCTTTTCTAAGATATTTTCTCCCCAGTGAAGCATCCTCGTTTCCCTGCAGTAGGAGAATGTCCCTTCTCCCTGGAAATATAGAAGTTGTTTAAAGTCTGGTTGACCCCTTTTCATTGGACTGCAATTTATTTTTGCAGCATCTCCTATAAAGTCCATTTTTTAGTGGCATTCCTCTCCGGAGTCGACATGTAGAAGTGGCAATCTTGCATCGCGGTTTTTACCCGGTGATTGATCGTTCAAGTTGTATATTCTTCAGTAAGGTTTTCCATTCCAAACAGGGGCACGTCACCCCAATTTTTGTTTTTCAAATACTATTGGTTTTGTGTGACAAGATACATACCAACAAATGAATCAAGAAGGGTCTGTATATGACTAACATGAAGATGTTCGCATAATGAGACCCAATTTCCCCAGTGGAACTATTCTTCTTTCCCTAATGGAGCAAGTGTCCTTTCTCTCTGGTGAGGTGTACATGAAGAATTCTAGTCATAACTCTTTCGTTACCAGTGGTAGAAGATTTTATTGAGGTATCCCCAATGGAGTTTCTATGTCGGGATGTTATTTCTGCCCCAAGTGAGGATCTTTTACCTCCCAACAATGTTATCCCCAGTGCAGCCTGAGTAGAATTCTTTTTATTTAAGAATTTATATACTCCCCAACAGAAGTTATCTTCGTCAAAGAATTTCTATGCCAGAAGTTTCCATTCCCAGCAAAGCTCTCCTCTTTCCAACAGAGGATAAAGAACTTATTTCCCGTGAAGTTGGGAGTTTGATCAGAATTCAAGTTTTTCTCTGAACTACAATTCATTTTTGTAGTATTCTCCCCAAGAAGTTACTTCCCCAGTGAGATCAATCGTTTAAACATTGATGATTTCAAATCTCGGTTCCCCATTGAAGTACAAATTGCTTTTTCTCTACAAAAAAATCAGATGTGCAAGAACAATCGTTCGAAAGTTCACTGACTTCTCAGCAGCCGATTATTGATATGTTTTCATAATGCATTACTAAACTTGCATCATTACATTGCATCTACTAAAACACGTAGCATTTCTATTGTATGGAGCATTACGCTAAAAAAAAATTTCAAACATGCATGAGTATAAGCCAATTGTGTCCACCTGTGGCAACCAGATTGTTATGCGCTCAGATTTGATTTACCTCCACAAGAAGCTTAGGGTAATTCTATTATGTTTCCCCAGCAAAGTTTGTTTTGATTCACCACCAGTCGGGTCTTGGGTATTTCTCCATTTTCCCAGTAACTTTATGATTTGCGCTTTCCTTTGTAGGACTTTGGTTATTTTACCCGTGTTTGCTTTGCCGTTAGAGTATGAGTAAGAGTCGGTGCATAACCTTTCTTGCTTCTCAAGTGTTTGAGTATCCATACTTGGTGTGTGGTAATTCTGACAATTGCCACTCTTGAAGAATTAACACCACGCCTCTGGCCTGAGGGATTTTTAGTTCTTGCGTATTTGCAACCTATCAAAAGCCCAGTGTGTTTTGGCAATCTTTGTTAGAGTCTGCTTTGACCAATCTCTTTCTCTTGTAAAGTTCACCTTCGGTCGGTGCTTTTTGAAGGTCCTGCTTAGTCGGTTCCTTGTTTTGGTTTATTCGCGTTAGTCGGGTCCTCCTTTCGTTAGCCTAGCTAACTTTTTTATGATTAAGAGTCTTTCAATGTCTCTTCAAAGTCCAGTTGTCTGGCGCCCTTGTTTAGACGAATGTGTCCTTTTTTATTGGGGCTTTCTTCGGTTAGTCTCGTTCCTGTGTTCGCTAGCAATTCTAAACATTTGTTTCTTGATGATCAATTTCGCTCTTGTGTATCTAACTCTGACCATATATGCACACCTTTATCATTTATTGAGAGTCCCCTTCGGCTGGTCTCTTTGCAGTTGTAAGTTCGCCTTCGACCAGCGTTCTTTTCTTAGGAATCTACCTTCGGCATAGTATTCCTGGATGAAGATTCCCCTTCGGCTGGTTTCTTTATCCTAAAGTCCACCTTCGGCTGGCACCCTCTAAAGTCCACCTTCGGCTGGCATCCTTTAAAATCCATCTTCGGCTGGTATCATTTGTTGAGAGTCCCCTTCGGCTGGTCTCTTTGCAGTTGTAAGTTCGCCTTCGACCGGCGTTCTCTCATTAGGAATCTACCTTCGGCATAGTATTCCTTGATGAAGATTCCCCTTCGGCTGGTTTCTTTATCCTAAAGTCCACCTTCGGCTGGCATCCTTTAAAATCCACCTTCGGCTGGTACCATTTGTCGAGAGTCCCCTTCGGCTGGTCTCTTTGCAGTTGTAAGTTCGCCTTCGACCGGCATTCTTTTCTTAGGAATCTACCTTCGGCATAGTATTCCTTGATGAAGATTCCCCTTCGGCTGGTTTCTTTATCCTAAAGTCCACCTTCGGCTGGCATCCTTTAAAATCCACCTTCGTCTGGTATCATTTTTTGAGAGTCCCCCTCGGCTGGTCTCTTTGCAGTTGTAAGTTCGCCTTCGACCGGCGTTCTTTTCTTAGGAATCTACCTTCGGCATAGTATTCCTCGATGAGGATTCCCCTTCGGCTGGTCTCTTTATCCTGAAGTCCACCTTCGGCTGGCATCCCTTAAAATCCCGCTTCGGCTGGTATCTTCCAAAATCCCGCTTTGGCTGGCATCTTTCAAAATCCCGCTTCGGCTGGTATTTCTCAAAAAAATACGGCTCTGGCGGGTATTTTTCAAAACCCCGCTTCGGCTGGTATCATTTGTTAAAATCCATCATCGATTGGTATCATTTGTCAGGAGTCCCATTTGTTTGGTCTCTTCCCTCAGTAAGTTCACCTTCGATTGGTGTTTTCTTTGCAAGAGCTTTCTTCGGTCTGTCTCTTTCTTACGTATCCGATACCAACCACAGATATGTATTTTTGATACCTGTTTTATATGTTTGCTACCAACCCCAGACATATGTTCTTGTATCTTTGTTATCTTTTGTGCGTATCCGATACCGACCATGGATATGTATCTTTGATATCTCTTTTGTGCGTATCTGATACCGACCACGGATATGTATCTTTGATATCTCTTTTGTGCGTATCCGATACCGACCACGGATATGTATCTTTGATATCTCTTTTGTGCGTATCCGATACCGACCACGGATATGTATCTTTGATATCTCTTTTGTGCGTATCCGATACCGACCACGGATATGTATCTTTGATATCTCTTTTGTGCGTATCCGATATCGACCACAGATATGTATCTTTGATATCTCTTTTGTTCGTATCTGATACCGACCACGGATATGTATCTTTGATGTCTCTTTCTTACGTATCCGATACCGACCACGGATATGTATCTTTTCTATCTCTTTCTTATGTATCCGATACCGACCACGGATATGTATCTTTTCTATCTCTTTCTTACGTGTCCGATACCGACCACAGATATGTATCTTTTCTATATCTTTCTTACGTATCTGATATCGACCACGGATATGTATTTTTGATGTCTCTTTCTTGTATATCCGCTACCAACCCCGGATATGTGTCTCTGATACTTTTTTCCGTATGTCTGCTACAGACTTCAGGCATATATCTTTTGATATCTTACAGGTGTTTGTTACTGAATCCCAACAGACATTCCTTGATAACTAAGTTATTCTGCTGTGTGTCAAACCCTGGTTAAACATACATCTAACCCCGATAACCCCTTTAACCTAGAAAGCAAAAAAAAAAATATAAAATACAGAAAGATCAAAAATAATAATACCTGACAGGCTTCAGAGCGCAAATTTTCGGGTTCTTTTAGTATTTAATCTTCTTTTACCTTGAAGGTTCGAAAGGCTGGCGTCAATCTCACCTTCAGGTCTAAGGCGATTAAATAGGGGCAGCTGTTGCACCCCAAAATTTGCCCTCCTAATTTCTTTTGTTTTGGCTTATACTTTTGCATTCATCTGCATCTATTTCCTTAGGTCACTAACATGGCATACATTTCATTCAATATAGCTCTAAGGTTCAAAGTTCAGTGGTTGTGCGATACTAGGGTTTCACAGTGGTTAAGGCGCTCGTACCCAATAAAAGATGATTTCTTATTCAGGCAGCAAGTTGTGGAATTAGGGTTTTGATTCATTCTCGTTTTTGGACTTCTTCTCCCTCAAGAAACAAGGCTACTATATTCTGATAAACAACATGTTACAGGTTTTTCTTTTCAAGAACTCAAGGGCGTGACTTAGCATACATGGTCTTCGAATCAAGACGTTTCCTTATATAAGTGTGCCTATCATTTGATCAGGCTTAATGACTTTCACATGGCATTCATCCACTCTTTAATTAACCAATTCAGGTTTTGTTGAATCATGGTTCAGAGAATCATTGGTTGTGAAGCTCGGGCTTTCTTCTGGTTCGAGGTGTTTATCAAACTAGACTGATTCTTCTGGTACATTGAATTGTGAATTTAGGGTTTTGATTGATGGTTGTTGTGGATTTCTTCTTTATCAAGCTACGAGGTTATTCTCTTCATCTCAAAATCAAGTTGCAAGGTTTTTATTTGTTAAGTCTGAAGATTTGGGTTCATTTCCTTATGTCTATTAGAAGATCATGCTTTGTTTCATTTCGAAGACATTTTGAACATTATTCTATCCATGTCTCAAGTCGTCACTGCACACCTAATACAAGTGGGTGCTCTAGGAGGTACACTCCCCAAGTTGCATTGTAAAGTCTATTTTGTTGTTTAAAGAATCTATTAATTTGGGATATGCTCGTGAAAAGCTAAGAGTAAACATCCAATGGCTTCTTCCATCAAAATCTCTAGGCTCATTTCTCGCTCAATTTCTTCTGCATCTTCTTCTACCTTGTTCTCTCGAGGTGGGAATGGCGGTTATCGGGGTGGATTACTTGCTAAATATAGCACAGCTGTTGTTGTTGATGAACAGCCGATTAAACCGTTGGTGCAAGTAGAGCATATTGGGCTCTTAATTGATGGAAAGTTTGTTGATGCTGCTTCTGGGAAAACATTTCCAACATTGGATCTGAGGACCGGGGAAGTGATTGCTCATGTTGTGGAGGGTCACTCTGAAGATATTGATATGGATGTTGCAGCTGCACGCAAAGCATTCGATATAGGCCCGTGGCCTAAGATGACAACCTATGAAAGGCAAAAGATAATGTTGCATGCTGCTGATCTGATTGAGAAACATAACGATGAGATTGCGACACTTGAGACTTGGGATAATGGGAAGCCGTATGAACAATCTCGTCAAGTTGAAATTTCAATGTTGGTTCGCCTAATTCGGTACTATGCTGGTTGGGTAGATAAGATTCATGGTCTCACAGTTCCAGCTGACGGAGCCTATCATGTGTAGACATTGCATGAACCGATTGGTGTTGCTGGTCAGATTATTCCATGGAACTTCCCTCTTCTCATGTTTGCTTGGAAGGTCGGTCCGGCGTTGGCATGTGGCAACACTGTCGTTATGAAAACAGCAGAGCAGACACCACTGTCTGTGTTGTATACAGCAAGACTATTTCTTGAGGCTGGACTTCCTCCTGGCGTGTTGAATATAGTGTCCGGCTTCGGTCCAACGGCAGGTGCTGCTCTTGCTAGTCACATGGATGTTGACAAGGTTGCATTCACTGGTTCAACTGCAACCGGAAAATTTATTCTTCAGCTTGCAGCTCAAAGCAATCTTAAACAAGTAACTTTGGAGCTTGGCGGGAAATCTCCGTTTATTGTATGCGAAGATGCTGACGTAGATCAGGCTGTTGGAGCTTGGCGGGAAATCTCCGTTTATTGTATGCGAAGATGCTGACGTAGATCAGGCTGTTGAGCTAGCACACTTTGCCTTATTCTTCAATCAAGGACAATGTTGTTGTGCTGGGTCTCGTACATTTGTACATGAACGTGTGTGTGACGAGTTTGTCGAGAAAGCTAAGATCCGCGCTTTGAACCGTTCTGTTGGAGATCCATTCAAGTCAGGAATAGAACAAGGCCCTCAGATTGATTCAAAGCAATTTGAGAAAATATTGAGATATATCAGATCTGGTGTCGACACTGGGGCTACTCTTGAAACTGGCGGAGAAAGGCATGCCAGCAAGGGCTACTATATTCAGCCTACTGTTTTCTCAGACGTTCAGGATGACATGCCGATCGCAAAAGAAGAGATATTTGGTCCAGTACAAACCATATTAAAATTCAAGAACAATGAAGATGTAATTCAAAGAGAAAACAATTCGAAGTATGGTCTTGCAGCAGGGATCTTCACACAAAACATAGACACTGCTAATACTTTGACAAGAGCATTGAAAGTTGGGACAATTTGGGTGAATTGTTATGATGTATTTGATGCTACAATTCCTTTTGGTGGGATTAAGACTAAATAGTACATGAATGTGAGGGGGCTTGAGGATCCCTATTGTAAAGATTGTCATCAGGAGGAGAAGGAGTCTACCTTTCATGTCCTTAGAGATTTTGGCATTGCTAGAAAGGTGTGGCATAAGCTGGTTGATGAGAAAGACTCTACTGATTTCTTTAGTATTAACTGTGACAATTGGTGTGAGCTGAATTTAATTGGAAATAGTCTAAACAGAAATGCTATAGGCGATTGAACAGGTGCATTATGGACAAAGTCAAGAATTATGAAAGCAAGGTTCAAGATTGAAAATTGGAGAAAATATTAGATGCTTGAAGATTCATTCAAATTAAAGCAAATGAAGGAAAAATTCAAATCTATGTTTGAGAAAGAGAACATTACATTTCCAAAGCACTAGTCTGTTATAATTACACTTCCTTCAAGTCACATTGCAAGATCTATTACAAAAATTTAATACCAGATTATAACTCACTACACCGTCTTACATTACATCATTGATCAAAATACAAAAAAAATTACACAAAGCTACGCTAAATCTATCTTTCAACAACTAATCCTTCACACACACTCTGCAAAAAAAGAGACTGTGATCCAAAATTTTATTGGTACTGGAATTTCTCTGCATCGCGAAATTGGAGTTGTTCTTCTACGCCGTGTTCGGTGGATTAGCCGATGTTGTTGCAGTTCTCGAGCTTAGCAAAAACAATAAGGATCGAATCAATACTTCCTCCGCTTTCAATTCCTTCAAAAATAATTATCTTCTCATTTATTCTCTCATAGTACTTATGGATATGGAAAGGGGGATATTGGACAACTCTTTATTGCTGGCTTTGGGTCTTCAATATTGTTTGGAATAATTGTGGGATCTTTGGTTGATAAACAGGGTCGGAAGAGGGCTTGTGTGACTTACTGCTTAACCTACATTGCGAGCTGCATCACCAAACATTCTCCTCAGTACAGAATTTTGATGTTGGGACGTATCTTGGGAGGCATTCCCACTTCACTTCTATTTTCAGCATCTGAATCATGGCTTGTTGCCGAGCATTTCAAGAGGGGCTTTGATCAGCAATGGCTGTCATTAAAATTCTTGAAGGCCATATTTCTTGGAAATGGCCTTGTCGCCATTTTTTCTGGGCTGTTTGGAAATGTTCTTGTTGATACATTGGCTCTTGGACCAGTGGCTTCCTTTAATGCTGCTGCAGGTTTTCTCACAATTGGTATGATCATCATATTATCTACATGGACCGAAAATTACGGTGATGCTTCTGAAAATAAGTGCTTGCTTGCCCAATTTAAGGGTGCCGCTGTGGCCATTGCTTCTGATGAAAAATAGCCTTGCTTGGTGCTATACAGTCTCTCTTTTAAGGTTCAATGTATACCTTTGTGTTTCTATGGACTCCTGCATTGAGTCCAAATGATAAAGAGATTCCCCATGGTTTTATTTTTGCAACATTCATGTTATCGTCAATGTTGGGAAGCTCACTTGCATCTAAGTTGATGGCTCGTTCATCATTCCGTGTAGAGAGCTACATGCAGATTGTTTTTGTAGTTTCTTCTGCTTCTCTAATGCTTCCTATTCTTACAACCTTTTTCGCACTTCCTACCAAAGCAACCAGTTCAGCCCTGCATAGAAAGATTAAAAAGCAAAAATCAATACACAGTTAAAAGTTCATAACTAACTTGTAACCATAACAAACTTCTAAACAAAATTGTCTAACAAAATTCTAACATAAATTTCCTAACAAACTATTAACAAACTCTCTGACTGCCAAACAGAATTAACAACTAATTTTCCTAAAAGAGTAACAAACTCCTCTAACAGTTTCTACCTTCTAACCGCCTAACCAATTTCTAATTAACTCATTCAACTGTCCTAACTGAATTCTAGCATTTTTTAACTAACTTTCACAAACTTAACAAGCTTCCTCCAACCTCCAAACTAATTTTAACCAATTCCAATAACTAACTTCCTCATAACAGAATTTTTGACAACTAATTTTAACTAATTCCATAACAGAATTTTATAACCAAACTCCTAACAAACTCCTAACAAACTCTAAACAGTTTCTAACCAAATCCCATCTTCTAAACAATATAGCAGAAAATCTATATAACAGGGAGATTATCATTCAGTTGGAGGAGGAAGGAGTTGCGATTCAATACAGAAAAATTCAGAATCATAATACTAACATTTCAACCTCACTCACTCAACAATTCCTCAAGATCCTTCATCATCTTTAAATTTCTTCACTCTTCAATTTACAAAAGAATCACCATTCTGCAAAAACTTCTTCTCTCTTTCTCTGCACGACCATTTTCACAAATTCACTCTCATCCTGTCTGCAACTTTCTCTCATCCCTCTCACGCCCTCACCATACGCTCATGTCGTAGAGGCCGTTGAGGCTTCTCATCGAAGCTTTAAACGGCTGAACTTAATCATCACCTTCGCTGTCCTCTGCAACCTACAACGAACATCTCAGATTATCCCTCACTCTCATAACAACAACCTCACGGATTCATATTTTCCCTCGCGCTCGAATACCAACAACAGAGAAAACGCAGAACAGAAGAAGAAGAAGATTGAATACGCAGAAGTACAGAAGACAGAAGAAGAAAACTAAAAAGAAGAAGCTCACCTGAAGCAGCCACCGGAAAACTCGTCGCTATCGCCGTGAGGTAGGCAGGTCCACTTCCTCTTGATACCAAGGTATAGAATAGAACCTCCTTAGTAGTTCCCCTAAGATCGCGGTGCAAGATCATTCGCCGTTGCGATTTAATTTCGCTTTTAGTCATCCAAGGGTTTCCAACTTCGTTTGGAATTAGGAGAGTTGATGCAGAATTGATGAAAAGAGAGGTTAGATTTAGACTCAGGGCTTGATTTCGGGTAGGATTGACGTTTATAATTTCTTAGTCCAAGGAGAGTTTGTCGGGGATTGATGGGGACGCATTTTACGGCCGCGGCGGGGAACAGAGAGAGAACTGATGAGAGGGAGAGAAAGAGTTGAGATGAAAAGGAAGTTGAAACGTCACTACTAAGTGCGTTTTGTTTTAAATTTTATCTCTTTTTTTTCTTTTTCTTTTCTTTCTTCTTTAATAATTGATAAAAAAATTAGAAGTAATAGTAAATGAATTGAAAAAATCTGAGGGCTATTGGTTTGGGCTCATGATCTTTGGACCTTTATTCACACCGCTGTTTAATCCAGAACACCTCCCAACTTTCTCTATTTTCTTTACTTTGTTCTTTAAATTTCGCAATTAATTTTGTCAGTTTCTTGCATGATTTTTTTGTTGAATTTTTTTATGAACATTAACATGTTTATTTATGATTAGATGATATTTTTCTTGATTTTTTTTATAAGTTTTAGGATTAATTGAATTAATGTTGAAAATGGTTAGAATTAGGTTTTTTTTTAGGTGCTCTTGTCAATTCCTTATCCATGATTCAATTTCTTTGGCATGATGAGTGGTTTAATGGCTGGTTCTGAACATTAGGTTCTTGATTAATTGTTTGCTTTTGCTTAAACTTATAAAAAGTATCATAAACTTGATAGAAATAGGCTTTATGTGTCATTGAATGTTCACGGGATTTGCAAGTTTTGTGGTAGAATGTTGATGCAACTTTTAGGATTCAAAATTCTTGAGGAGTAGTTTGTGCGAAGCTTCGGTAGAGTTTTCTCATCGCTTGCGTGATTTTGAAGAGGCAACGAACCTTCTCTGTTAGCCAAGATTTCGTGATGGTAATGATGCAATCTTTCGCGATTGGGAATATTTGGAGATTAATTTTCAATCACTCGCTCAAAGAAACTTTGGTAGAATTTTCTTGCCGCTTGCACAATTTTGAAGAGGCAACGGACCTTCTCCGTTCGGTATCGTCACAACCCTATTGTATTCTTCATTTCCATTTCTTTATCGCAAACCATATGCATGCTAACATTAGGTAGAATTCCTTCAAAATTATAACTTTAGGTCTAATTCACAATAACATTAGGTTTAGAAATAGGCTAGTCCCCCTTTGACTTTTCTTTCTCTTTTACATTCGCATTTAAAACAAAATTTTCTTTTTTTTACAAAACTTCAAAATACTAAAAATCTACTGACGAGAATCATATCTTCGTTAAGTATGTGAGATGATAAGCGGGTTTCTTCTCGACCTTATTATTCTCTTGTTCTAAGCTTTGGTACGATTAAAGTCTCAAAGACTCATTTCATGGATAAGTAGAGAAATGGATAAAATCTCTCCCTTGAGGTCAACTAGCCATTATCTACAAGCAAAAACACCAACAAACATAAAATTCTTTTTGCCTTCGGGCCTTCCTTTCAAAAAAAAACTTTTTCAAAAGAAGCGTATTAATTCACTTCTGTGCTGACGCGTAAGTCTCCAAAGGTCGAGTTGCGGCAGAAGGCGAAATTAATATTGTGCATGATAAACAAACAAGTTCAAACTTTTTTTTTGTGCGTCCAGGCACATTTCTTTCCAAACTTTTCAAGAGAGCATGTTAATTCACTTCTGTGCAGACGCGTAAGTCTCCAACGGTCGAGTTGCGGCAGAAGGCGAAATTAATAATATTCATAAAAAAACACAAACCAACAAAAAACGTATAAGCCGAACTACGGCTGCTCTGATTCCTTAAAAGCATACGTAGGCATCGGGGTAGGGCCCGAACGAGCACAATTTTATTTTCCCTATATTATTTTCCCCTTTCTTTCGCACGCATTCTTCCAGTAGTATAGTAAACAGTAAGCATAGACGAAACACACCCATAAGATAGATAACAAGAGTGGATACCGTAGAGTACTACGGGCGTGTGGGGTGCTAATACCTTCCCCTCGCGTAACAGACTCCCTTACCCTTATCTCTTGGTCGTTCGACCTTGATTTCATCCTTCTCGGGTTTTCTCGATGTTTACCTTTCCCTTCATGTGGGATAAAAGACGTTCGATGGCGACTTCATTGTTTTAATGATTTTCAGCCGATTATTTTAGTACTGCATCAAGAGGTTGATTCTGAATGAGTATCAGAATGGCATCCGTGTCTGGTGCGTATCTGAACTGTATCAGAAGTTGTCTTTGAATGAGTATCAGAATGGCATCCGTGTCTGGAGCGTATCTGAGTTGTATCTAAAGTAGAGGTTGAATCTGAATGAGTATCAGAATGGCATTCGTGTCTGGTGCGTATCTGAACTATCAAAAGTAGAGGTTGAATCTGAATGAGTATCAGGATGGCATCCGTGTCTGGTGCCTATCTGAACTGTATCAGGAGTTTTCTTTGAATGAGTATCAAAATGGCATCCGTGTCTGAAGCGTATCTGAACTATATCAAAAGCAGAGGTTGAATCTGAATGAGTATCAGAATGGCATCCGTGTCTGGTGCGTATCTGAACTATATCAAAAGTAGAGGTTGAATCTGAATGAGTATCAGAATGGCATCCATATCTGATGCGTATCTGAACTATATCAGGAGTTGTCTTTGAATGAGTATCAGAATGGCATTCATGTATGAAGTGTATCTGAACTGTATCAAAAGTGCATATTGTTAACGGTAGCTTATTAATCTTATCCTGAAAAGGGTAAAATTTTATCTAAAATACAAAGTTATGTTGCATGGAATGTATGATGCAATGTATTTGCTTTATCCATGTTTATGATATATGGATGTAATGTATGCGTATGTGAGCTGATTTGTTGTACTGCTTGTTGGATTTGGGAAAATAAATCCCTGAATATTGATGAGGATATGTGAGTCTTCATGTTGTGAAGTTGAAGCGTTGATGAATTTCTGCTTGTAAGGGAAATTCCATGTACTGCTTGGAAAATCTGCTTGGGGAATCTTGGAGAAATTGTTTGATTTCTATCGGGGGTTGATAAACTGGAAGCTTTATTCCTATTGGGGAGTAGCTGGGAGTTTTGTTCCCTCGGGATACTCTTATCATTGAACCTTCTCAGAAACTTCTTATCATTGACAGATGCCCCCTCAGGATACTCTTGAGTCTCGAGGTACCTTTTTACTTCATGAAATCAGGGTTTGTCTGCCACCTCTTTAGTATCAATCTCACAGCAGTGCGCTGGTTCATCTAACCTTTCAATGGTGGTTTGGGGAGCTTCGTTGTCCCATCTGACCTTAAACATGGAAGACATGGTAGCTAGCGTGTCCGCTAACTGATTCTTCTCTCGTGGGAAATGTTCAAAGGTTACCTCCTCAAAATATGGGAGAAATGTCAGCACCTGCTCTTTGTATGGGATGAGATTCAGATGCTTCATATCCCATTCGCCTTTGATATGACTTATCACTAAAGCCGAATCTCCAAAGACATTTAAGAACTTGATCCTGAGGTAAATAGCAGCTTTGAGACCCATGATGCAGGCTTCATACTCCGCCATGTTGTTAGTGCAGTTAAAACATAGTCAAGTAGTGAAAGGAGTATGATAGCCTTCCAGAGATATGATTATGGCGCCAATGCCATTACCGAGTGCATTCGAAGCTCCGTCAAAAACCATAGTCCATCGAGATCCCTCTTCGGGTCCTTCATCCGGTCCAGGTTCTTCGTAGTCAATCATCAACATAATATTCTCGTCCGGGAACTCAAAATTCATGGACTGGTAGTCATCCACGGCCTGATGAGCCAAATGATCAGCTAATACACTTCCCTTGATTGCTTTTTGGGTCG